ATCACAACACCACCACACACACACACAACACAACAACACACACACACACACACACACAACACACACACACACACACACACACACAGACAGACACACCACCGTAAGGACGGATGGAGATAATTCTCAGGGACCGCGACACTGAAGAAGTTTCATAAACCCATTGATTAATAAAATACTTAGGTATATATTATCACATTACTATATGTTGGGATGGTGTGATGTGATAGTGATAGCTGTTGATGTGTGTGTGTGTAGACAATGTATGTGTGTCGTGTGGTGTGTGTGTTGTGTGAGAGGACACTTGCTGTTTCATTTAACCTACCCAAGTAGGGAGGCAGCACCTGATGTGCACCGCTTGTCTGATCAGTGACACCAATACATAAACACTGAAAAATATTCATACCTACACATTCCACACATACACACACACACACAAGGCACACACTACACACACACCACACTCCACAACAGCACACCACACGTATCTGTAGCGTTCATTCACAACTAGGATCAACACACACACACACAATCCACCACAACACACACATCACACAACTGCTGGTAATCTAAGACCTTGTTGTTGGTTCGGGGTGAAGCGCATCACTTGCAGCTAATAGGAGGAAAATTGGCATTCATCTGCATCTTGTACACTCTCTCTTGACTACTTCACACTCTTTCTCTCTCACACACACACACACACCACACACACACACACACACACACACTACTCACACAGTTTGATCATGATTTCCAATGTAATCTGGTTTGATGTAGTACCATACTTAATTGTCTGGTGTTATGTTTCATCCCGGCCACCGTACCGTCCAGCAGATTCAGGCGCAATGGCCGATGTTCTGCATCGTCGTGCTGTAGCTCTCATAAGTGAAACAATGAATTTGTATCACGAATCTTTAGTATGGAACCCTTTTGAAAAGGTCTTTAGAAGTATATTGGTAAGGTCCAATTTGTAATATGACCTCACTCTGGAGGTCAGATTGACGCTTGCAAGGACAGTCATTGCACAACCACCATGGAAATTTAGTCAGAGGATTAAAGCTTATGTTGACCGAGCAAAAAGAACAGCCGTGTTGAGTAAAGAGTTGTGTTTTGGCAAACGTTTTAGGAATCACCCCAGAACGCAACTTGTTATCCTCTCATAAAATTAAGCGTAAAATATGTCTGCAAGCTCTGAGAAATTCCACTGTTACCAGCACATAAGGCTGTCGTTCAACACGGAAATAAATTCCCTCACACACCACCACACCTGTTTCTGTGGTTTGGTGGCTTTTTGCAACCTGACATAGACGATCCTCTGTCATAATAGTACTAATTATGCCCACTCACTCATCCAGGCTGCTGTTTGTTAATATGCTAAATCGCATTCCTTCTTGGTTGGGAACACGTGTGTGGACTTTCAGGATTAAAAGCAGTAGGGGATGAGATAGTGGTACACAAAGTCAAATTAAAATAACAATACGGTTAACAGGAGTAAATAAAAAGAGAGAAATGGAATCACAACGATCGGCCGCTGTCATCCTTCTATCCTAGGTCGTTACAACTAAAAAACCTGCAGACTGACCCAGCAGTAGCGTTAGCTGCACGATTCTGTGTGGGAGAAAAAGGAAAAAAAGCGCTCGTCGGCTGTGGCGACCATTTCAAACCGGAGGTCCTTACATCCTTGTGGAGGCGATTGGTCCCCTTACAACTCTTGTCACATTGACCTGTGCTGCATTCTGACAGAAACACGCAAATCTGAGCAGCTCTAATGTGCTGAGAGTAATGACCCCATTTCATCCAGGAGTTCTCACTGTGGTGAAACTGTGTAGTCGTGGTGTGTAGTGTTGTGTGTTGTCGATTGTCGTGACAGCTGTTGTTCGGAAGGAGAGTGTGTGTGTGTGAATCGTCTGGAGCCTCGCAAAGCGCATCAATGTTCCTAGTTGACATGCGGAGCCCAAGCGCGCAAGAGTTCCTGCATGAACACACACGTGACTCTTGATTATAGTCGTCTCTATTTTTGACAGGGAATGGTCTTCATTTCACTCGGTAGACACTGAAGGTGACACGTGTGTGTGTGGTTGTGTGTCTGATACCATGTCCGGTTCACATAGTCAACAGACTGGTAACACGTTACTGTGAACGGCCAACCAAGCATGATCTCCGCTGACGTCTTTCTCATAATTTACGATCACATTTTTTTGAGCCACAGAAGTCAACAATACAAAAACAGATCTTGAACCACAAATCAATTAATGATTGATCCTGTAACGGTTGTTCTGCCTGAAGCTGTCACACACTGATCTCTTTACGGCATCCAATCACTGTGTAAAGCCTTTCTTGGTGCTTTTTAACTCTAGATTTGAACCGGATTGAAGGATTTTAAGTCATAGGAAGTTATGATTGAGAAACACCAGCCGACAGCTACCACTGTAGAAATGAACCTGAGACACTCTCACTGGCTCATAAACTGTTAAATGTGTTCCGGTACTGCTGGGCCACTGGTCAGTTATATGACTGTTTCGTCTTTCACTGTATATTTGTCAAGAAAAACTGGAAAATGATTTCTCAGAAACCGTAGGAACCCAGTCTCATGCATACAACCTGCCCTGCACTCTGTTAAACACCCCCACCTGCCCCCAGACTGCAGACATCTGCACTCAGTTTGCAGTTTGATTCACTTGATATCAGATTCAAATATGGACTGCTCAGTCGGTCTCAGTCGGGTTGTTTGATCCAGAAAAACAGAAAATATTATTTTCATTTCACATTTTAGAAGAGAAGTTTTGAGACCATTATCCAAATAATGATCAATTAGCTTTCTGTCAGTCGACTAATTGATTAAAGCAGCAGTGGATAACTTGTGTAACTAATATATACCGATGTATTGAGGGTGTTAGGGCTGTCCCAGAATAAGGGTTATAGTTATCAATAGTTAAAGCCAATAGTCGACTAGTCGTCATGTTTCTGATATCACTGTATTGATTAAGACCTGTTAACCAGCAGTAATGATTGTGAATCAGAACAAGCAGCAACACAGAGTAACATCACACAGTTGTTCAACAACTTCAACTTCACTGAAACTGATCCTGACTGATCGATACGATGGATGATGTAACGTTAACAGTTACTGACTAATCAACTGAGAAAAAAGAGATTGGATGGTCGTTTTAAGTTGACTGAAACACTTTCTGTTAATCGACCATATTGATTAATTGTTGCATGTTCTGATCAGCTGTGATCAGAGTGCACAGTAACTGACTGATCAATGAGCTGGAGATGTTTTATAGATAAACTGAGTATTTTTACAGTGTGGTGTCAGGAGGCATTGATGGAGCTCTGTGGTCAGTGGCTGCTGTGTTGTTCTGGCTCAGTGAGGATCCTCGTGGCCTCTCTGAACCGAGACCTCGTGCTGCTGGATTCAGTTCAGAGCAGTAAAATCAGGTTTTATGGCCGAGCCTGCCCAGTCAAAGGTCTGAAGCTCAGCACCTGTTTGACTCCGTCACAACTCTTTAGCAGCTAAAGTTAGTTTACCTGCTTCAGTCCGATGACTTCTTTTATTTTCTGACTTTGTTTCCTGATATCTGAGCAGTTTCAGCCTCATCCTGACTCCAGTATGTGGATAAGAGATTTAACCTAACTGAATATTGAGGATTTAACAAAAAACAGGATTTAAATTTTTTCAGACCTTCAGGGAAACTTTTTACTTTAAAGCAAGAAATCTCTGTATGTTTGTCCTTCGCACATCTCGAGAGCCGTTCATCGGATCCACTTCACACTTGGCGGCAGTATTGTTGAGGACTATAGGAGGTGCAGTGTTCAGTCTGGCCAGATGGTGGCGCTGTAACAACAAACTTTACGTTTTTGTCTATCTTTTGAACTCTGGGTGGGATTTGATACAGTTTTATTGATACAGATCTCATCATTGACTCTGCTTATCAATCTGATTCTTTGTTGCTTCCCTTACTGATTCCTGCTCAGGGCTTCACAGGTTCTCAGCGTCAGTGCAACTGTCTGAACACAATGTATGAGTTAAAGCTACTGTAGTTTCTTTATGAAATGAGGCCCTTCTTTGGACCGTTTCCTCCTCTCCACCATCACTCCAGTTTGACCTCATTGTTTTGCAAAGTGCAACTGTCAGAGAAAATGCTGACATTGAGAAAAGGTATTGATAAGCTCGGTGGCATACGATTTCAAAGGATTGGACATTTGTGTCCTCATTTAACTCTTTACAGATTCTTTCATCTTCGGTCACACCTCAGTATCTTCCTGTTTCAGTTTGTGTCTTAACTGACTTTCAGATCAATTATTCCCAACATTTTCTTTACCTTTTATAATCGTTTCTTAAATCTTCTGACCCTGATTGTCTGCATTTAGTTTAAACTCTCCACATCTACCTTTGCTTCATAGTGACACTGACATAGACAGGTGTGAATACCAAGCGCTCCTACACACACTCAGACACACAGGCACACACACACACACACACACACACACAGCAGAAACTGTTTTCATTATAACGTCCACACAGAGGAAGAGTTCACCTGCCAGCCAATCAGAAAGCAGCATTCTCTGTTGCTACAGTATTAAAGAGTGACACTGAGCAGCTGTCACCCTGAGGTCGGGCCGAGAGGTTGGGAGGCGTTTGGTATGAACACCTGTTGGTCTCTGAGTGGGCGGAGCCAACCCAGCCAGAAACCAACTTCAGCAGCAGCCTCACAGGAGTTTAAATGAGGGCTGCAGGATACAGTAAACACATCATATTGTGATTGTTTTGGTAGATATTGTGATGTGATTAATGTTGGAATGATGATTTGCATAGAGACACTTCATCACACCACCATGATTGACAGAAGCCCAGCAGATAAACGTAAAACACCAGAACCGTCTCTGTTAGTGT